TCATCTGCATCTTTGACTGCCACCCTCACTGCAGGGGTGGCCTGTCCATTCACCATGACCTGATTGCTTTCAAGTTTCAGGGCCATATTATTTTTCCTTATGTAGGGTGTGCCCACAATCATATCATACCAATTGAAGTTAGCTACATCAACATACTCCTTGGACTTCATTCCAGGGACTCCCAGCTCAAAATACATGCCAAATTGCACTGTTGCCCAGCTGCCTGCAGTCTCCTACTGTAATGTCAATGGCTCCACTAGGCATGGCATGCAAATGTCATGTACTTGGCAAAACTGTGGGGTTACCCCTGTGGTCATACTCCCCAAATCCCACAAAGTCTAGGCCTTATGGCCTTTCACATCCATGTATGTGACAAGGCACTCCTTGTCCTTGCACTTCACTTTCCAACAGTTCAATGGTTTAGGTATCAAATTCAAGGTCACCTTATGCACCTTCATCAGAAATGTTCCCATAGGTATGTCAAACTCACTGGCCAGGTAGTCTGTCAGAGCCATCATATGCTCTGATTCACTGTCTCACATGTAGTAGTCATTGTCATACACATTCATAGTGATGTACTCTTCATTGTCCTCTATGCTATGGACTTTGTCCATAGCTGCAGTGTCCTCCTTATTCTGGTCACATTCAAGACCTCCTTCATCCTCTGGCTCATTGCAAGGCAAGATTTGATATTGCTTCCCTGGCTCTAATCAGCAGTATGCACTGCTCTCACCTGTGCCTGTGGCTTCCTACTCTTACTCTTGGGCTTCTTGCAGTCATACAAGTGGTGACTTTTGTCACCACACCAGAAGCAGGTTAGCCCTCCACTATCCTTGTCCCTAGGCTTACTGTCATTGCTACATTCTTGCTCATTACTACATCCACAGTCTTGGTGGAACCTGTTTCCTTTGGGCTCTTTTAGCCTCTGTCCTCTACTCATGTCTCCACCCCCTGGTAGGTGCCTTGCATCCTCCTGTGGTATGCTCTTGCATACTATCAGCTGCAGGTTAGTATTCTGTGCCATGTCTTCCTTCCTGGCAAGGAAGGTCATTATTTTCCATGGAGTGACCTGGCCATCTATGTGTTGACCTTTCAAGCTATGCTGCTCAAAGTGTTGAGCTGTGTTTAATGAATGCTCAAACTATATTGACCATATTGCATAGGTGACAAACTCCTCTACTGTATTGACCTCTGGAGACAATCTGTTATCACAAATTAATACTCTTTGCATCTCCTGAGGAATTCCCTTCAGCAAAGTCTTGCAAATAGTCCATGCATCTGAGTATATGGCCATATTCTGTGATGATCAATCAACATATTATAGAATCCTTGTACACTAAGTCTCTTGGCAAATGCAGCAGCATAGAATGCCTCTTTAGCATCCTGCATTGTTGATGGGCTAACAAACAAATTGTACAGTTTGATAATCACATCCTCAAATGTCCATTGCTGTCTTGCATAATTGTAGTGCAAGACATGATGTTGAAACCAGCATTTTACTGGCCTGTCTAGGAATTCTTGGAGGACAAAGATCCTTTTGCAATCCATTTTTTCTCCTCCATACAAATATGCTGCCAAATGACAGCAGATATCCATAGTCCAATCCTCCAAGTTGCTAAACTTGGATCCCCCTCTATATGCCTGAATATGCCAAGGATCTGCCTTCCTTGTATTCATTCCCTCTGGCAGTCATAATGCAATGCCAACAGCATCATCAACAATGCTTGTCAACTGATGATGCATGTTATCAGTATAGGCTTTTGTGGCTTCCACCACTCCTGGCATCTGACTCTACCCTTGGCAGGGTCTATCACCAAAAAGGCCTGCACCTGTCATCCAGGTGTTACCATCTCCATTTGCCATGGGAGATACAATGACTCTCAACCATCTCTACCCTGGCCATCCCAGCCCCCACCACCACTTCCACACCCTGGACCTCTTGAGGGAGGTTCATCCTAACCACCCTTACTCTGGTGATCCTTTCCATGATGGCTAATACTGTCATCACTCCCTTTGGGATCTCCATCTGCCTGTGCAGTTCACTTCACAAACTGTCACTGCATGTCATCCACTGGTAGTACCCCTTCAAATACCATGCCTTGGTCATGTACCTTGTACCAAGGAATAACCTTGCATTCTCAGGTCCTGGTCACAGTTCTGAAAATCACTGGCAAGGGGTATCCTCATTGGTGCTGCTGGTGTCAAGGATTCATCCTTGATTCCTGACTTGAGGAGTACAGACCTCCTCTACATACTCAGCTGATGGATTCACTACCATAGGCATTGTAGTTACAGTCTCCACAACTGACAGTGGTGTGGTTGGGTACCCTGCAAATCAGTGCTGGCATTGTCCAGCTGCTTGCCAAGCACTGAATTGCTTGTCTGTCTCTCCTCTCTGGTGAGGAGCAAAAATATTCCTCATGGCTTCCTGCAAATTGGGCAAGTCCGCACATTACAATGAATTTCTGTCTTTGGATTGGACTCCAGATTTGGTCATTGTTAGGTGCATTTCCTGTGGATCATGAGATCTGATCATGTGCCTTGCCAGGTCAATGATGGCACATAACTTTCTATTGTACTGTACAATTGTTCTTCACACTTCTGAAGCCTTTGGAGCATCATACCTGGCCTAGGAAGTTCCTCAGACACTGATGGCACTGGAACCTGCTTCCATTGGGAAAATGGAAAAAGAAACCTGTTATATCATTTCTTTGACAGAATTTTCCTTTGGAAAAAGGCTTTTCCCATTCTTTAGAGCCTTTTTCTATTGGAAATGCCCTGTTTAGAAATGGCATAACAGGTTTCTTTTTCAGTATTTCCTCAGGAAATGCTATTGGCTGCCAGCAGTGAGACTTGTTCTCTTTATTAACTGTAACTATCTCTCTGGCCTTCAAGATCATCATTAATAACATAATATTAACATTAGTAACCTTCTTGTTAATAACAGGTAGGAAATGAGTTATTTACAGATGTTTTCAATATGAACAATGTGAACAATTGTCCAGAACACACAGTCAAACATCCCATATATCTACAGTGTTATCTTGTGACACTTGAGCCTTCTCATTTGCTGGTTGAGTAGAGTCCAGGTTTGCCTTGTTTGTCAATGGCTTCTCAGAGATCATGTCCATCAGGGCAACAGCATCAATGTTGATACAAGCATCCACTTCAAAGTCCTGTTGCACTCCCACATTTGCAAATGCTGTGTTCACCACTGGAAGGTCCTCATCATCCTCTGATTCACTGTCAGGATCTAGCACAAAGTTGGAAAAGAAGCTATATCTAGATTCTGTCAGCAATTTTGGCACAGGTAGCTGTGAAGGTAGATGTTTCAAGAGATACTATAATCTCTCCAAGACTTGATCCAATTCCTGTGGGGAGATCAGCTACAGTTCTGTGTAGGGCATTTTTGAGCCTCAGCAGCAAGATGAAGGGAAAATTTCCTGGGTGACACAATGGTGATGTCTGGCAATGTATTAGGTTCTACTAGACCCTGTTATGTTCCTCTATCAATCAATTTGATGTGCCTGGGTGTACACTATAGAGATAAGGCAATCTTTTCTGAGATATTCACATTTATTTACATGAAGTGGGACCTGGATGAGGAGGGGGTGTTAATAACAGTTATCAACATGTTATTAACATTATATGTATACATATGTAAATAATGGTTCACTTATTCACTGATGGGCAGAACAAAAGGAGAGGATGTGATCCTTGCACATCAACCTGTAGTTGGCCCCATTGAGGCCCTGCGAGCCTATTACATTTGCAATTATGCCAGCATCACAGACCCTGTCCATTGCTCATCCTTGCCTTGTTCTTTTGACATGTAGAAAATTGCTGAATAAGATAAATGAGATTTTCTCATCTTCCAGGTTCCCCCTTGTCACTGGCCATTGTCTGTGTATAGGCAGAACCACTCATCTCCTGCTGGTGGGTGTGTCCTCCAACATCATTAAAATTCTGGGACACTGGGCATTCAGAAGCATTCCTCAGATACTGGAGGTCCCTGGAACTCCAAATCTGAGGGATTCTGGTCTTCTATGACTTCACATTACTTGAGGGCTATCTTGACTCATGAGTGTGGGCTTTCTCTAATCTGGGTAAATACTTGCCAATTGTGCTACCCCCCAAGTGGTTTTCAGCACACCCATGTGTGTATTGATATAGTAATCTACAATATGCTACTTCTGCCTTTCTATATATCTCTCGGAGTCATAGTAAGCAGCTGGATTGATTGGGGATGACAGAATAGAAGAGATGAACACGACAAACAGAAACTGGTACAATAAAATAGCGAAAGAAGTATGTAGAATAAACAGAGATACATAGAAAGGAAAAAAACAAAAGACACGAAGAAAGACAAAGAAATAATCAAAGTCAATAATTGAAGGATCGAGGAAAGGGATCGATTGAAAGACATTGGATTGAAGGATCAATCGATCGAAAAGGAGTAAATGTGAAGGATCAATTTCAAGGCAATCTCTGGTACAACGGAATTTGACTTCATCTCGACAAGCAAGGGAATTGTATTCCCGAACTGCCCGAATCGATCGAAAGGAATGAATGTGAAGGATCAATTTCAAGGCAATCTCTGGTACACGAATTCTGGCTTCGTTATGACAGTGGGAACACCCTTGACAAGCAAGGGAAGTGTTCCCGAACTGACTCTTAGTTGATTGCTTGACGAACGCGCTTGCCGGGACCTGTCAACAAATGCCATCTCACGACGGGAGGCAGGAAGAGACAGGGCTGAGCTACGTTCATTTTCTTGTGGTAGCTTTGATTATACTATGGGTCGTTGCGAGCACGGCGTAACCGAGATCTAGGAGTAAGAATACAGCCGGATAAAATTAGTGATTCAACGGATCAACGAAACAAGGGCAATTTGGTCCAATGTTATAGATAGTGCTGTAAGTTATTGACCTGTCTAGTATTACAGCCGCACCTGTAAGTCATCGACCTGTCTAGTGTCATGGCCGTACCATAATATTGTCACACCAATGGTGAAGCGGTTATCATGCTTGCCTTCCACATCGAGGTAGCAAGCGGCAGGGGTTCGACTCCCCTTTGGTGTATCTTTTACGTTTTGTTTCGTAAAACGCACAGCCACTACAGAGTCATAAGTTCCTCTTTATTGAAGACATCAATCCTTCCAGTTGGATTTGCTGTGCTCACAACGACTATATTTTATTCAAGTCACAGATGCTTATTTCGCGACCCTCACGTAAACTGACCTAGTGCGCTTTCCAGATTGTAGCTTTCATACATCACTTGGTGTTTAAGAACCCGTTAGCCTATGCCATTAGCTGCAACTGAACGTTTTCCCTCGCTGCTGCTGTTACCAAGAGGGCAATGATGAGCGCGCCCAAAATCTAGGTGTGTTCAAAGAGGTAATAAATGCTAGGCTTAAATACAGTTTCTACTGTCTCACAAATGAAAGATCTTCCGAGTCTTGAGCTCAAAGACTTGGGATGATCATCGATAAGTACTATCCAGATTGATGCCAAATACATCGGTCTATGACTCGATGCTACACCAGTAGCATGGCCTTGCAATATTACTGGATTGTGCAGATGGCAAGGAAAGAGTAACATGTTTTCTCGCTAAAACTGGCCTCGCGTTGAGTGTTGAGTCGAAGTAATGAAAAGATTGGCCGTGAGTCCTGTGTCAAAGGCGGTGTACATGAGGTACTACAGGGAGTGTATCGTTTGGACCAAGTTAGTCGGATTCAGAAGATATCCTGACTGACGTAGAATCGTAACGTGTCACTGTAAGTCTTCATAGTGAAAGTGGTAACAGTGAAACTAAGGCATTGTTAGCCGTGCATTAACAATGACTGTAAACACTACGAACGCTTTGATCACCGAGACTAGACCTTGGAATCAATTCGTGCATTCCAACGAGATATCAATAATGCTTATCGAAGGCTCTGAAAGAATTGTGAACACTACGTCATGAAATGGGCTCCTTGACATGCCCAATGCCGTCAAAGAGCACACCATCTATGAGATGTATTTCCATTTGAGTGGCGCAATTGACGCTTTCTCAACACAACTCAGAGTGAGGAGCCTTCAATAAGAAAGTGCCCTTGTATGAACTCCCTACTGACGGAGCCACGGGCGTCTGCCAAGAATACTAAGTGGAAATGTAAGGACCGTTAGAGACTAGTGGAGATAGGAGATGGGAGAGCACTACAGTCTAATGATATTATTGCTCGATTTTGATGGTAAGTGAAAATTCCCGACATTCAACGAGTACATATGAGTATGGTCCTTCGCGCACTGTGAGCATGTCGGTAAGAATATGCAATCAGCTAACTACCATACAACCGTCGATGCAAATAAGATGTCCCCAAATATGCAATGAGGAACCAAAATACTGAATGTATGACAAAAGCTGTTTGCACTGTATTAAGAAGTCTTGATGTGCATATCAGTCAGATGTAAGACTCATATTAGCAATTGTACCAGAGGGAGAACACCTATTGTTGTAGAGATAAACCATCAGTTATATTGAGAAAATATAGTAGTTCACGAGCGTTCTAAACCATCGTTCACGGGTCGCTTGTAATATACAAAAGTTTGTATGCAGGAGACGCCAGATTATGTAGGAAGTAAGCATTCAGCCAGGAGACGCCAGATTATGCGGGAAGTAAGCATTCCGCACTTGGCGATACGATGGATCTCAGTTTATGAACACACATGCTGTTCCACATATTGCCTGAGAAGATGGCACCTCAAGTGAAGCCAAGAGACATGATGATCGGAACGTGATATCTCGGCAGCTGAATGAAAACTAGAGCTTTATGTAGGACAATGTTTGCATCAGAGATGAGATTACGAGCACAAGCCTGGGTAATCTCGTCAGTACTACATATGGCTGTGGAGTGTAGACGTCTGATACCGCTAATCTGTTGCGACTGCCGGCTCGGAACAGAGCCTTATGGGTTCCCCAAGGTATTCATATACGCGGAGCGGTTGCTGCCGGATTTCCTGAAGGAAGACACCGAATAGCTGGGGTTTAAATATAATGCCTTACACTTAAGAGGTTGAAAGCGTCAGGTGTTTGCTTTGTTCCCCTCACGTTCTTTGGAAGCATATATACCGCAACTCCCGCGATCAGCAAGAAAGAAGGATCAATAGTGTCTAATATAACATCAGCCCTCAAAGGCTGACGGTGAGACATCAACACCCAAATTCGACTTAGCTAAACCCCGCATCGTCCGTTCCATCTCGTCTTCAAAACCCTCACCAGGACGCAGGCCTAGATGCCGCCGTATCCAGATAGAAATCTTGTTCTTCCAAAAAGCCAGGTCAAGGGAGAACATGACGCTCCGGAAAACCAAGTAGTGCCACCACTCCCGCAATCGTTGAGTGAAAGAGAGGTGAGGGGCTTGAGTGAGGGACCTTGAAGCCCAGAAACCGGTGATTTTGATGCGGTTGACTGGAGAGCCGAGAGATTGGTTGTTCCCTGTGTAGAAAATATTAGCAAGCTCTATGTTCAGCCTTTTCGGGAACAAACCTTGAACCATCCTTCGAGAGTGAAAGTCAGTACAAGGGTCTATCTTGCATAACCAGCGATTTCAACGCACCGCATGTTTCGTGACAAGAAAATGAGTGCCTTCGGCATCCTATCAGTGTCAGTCAAGAATTCCTTCAATCTCTTTTTCATTAGCACGCTCAGCTCATACTGAGACATGTTTTTCATCTTCTCCTGAAACGCAGCCTCTCTTTCCCGTCGCTTTATACTCGCCTCCTTGGTCTCCCCCTTCCTCATTTCTGGTCTTCTCAGCCTTGTCGGTTTCATCAACGTGGCGCTAGCGACCAAATCCGGTAAGCCCATACCCCACTGCTTCGTCACATGCTCAACAGAGTCGAAATCCCCAGCGAGCATGCCTTTCCATAGCTCCACCCATTGTCTTTTGAAATTCTCTTCAACAGAAACATATAGGCCATGGTCAATCAAAACGAGTTGAGGCCGGGTCGGCTTTGATGGGTGAGGACGGATGATTACGTTTCCTGGATGGGGATCACAGTGCACCCAGCCCCAATTGAACATCTGTGCACTGAATAGTTCTACCATCACCTGCATGATCGCTTTGACTCCGCCTCTCAATGGTTTGGTTGGCATGGAGGCAGGAAGGGAAGACGGTGAATCAAGTGGATTGGACTCGCCCATGAGAGCGCAGATTGCAGGGCGGTCGCTGAGTCGTACGCCTTCGATCCATTCGGCAGTCATCACCTTCTTCGTCGAGTATTCAGGGTAGACTGTTGGAATGTACACGCTATCGGCGAGTCGCGGCTCGTTTGCGACGAACTCGGCCGTCTTGCGAGCGTTATTGGCCTCGTTAACAAAATCAAGCTCCTGCCGCAGGTGATCGGATATAAAGTCTGATCTCGCATGAGCCCAGATCCCACTTACATACGATAAAGGCTAATACTCGCCAACAATAAAGTACACCGGCAGATCAAATGCCCAATTTTCGAACATCCACATCACAGCACGGTAAGCGCCTAGGTCCCATTCCATCTGCTTTGCTACGTCAGGCTTTTGCACCTTGACGGCAACCCACTTCTCTTCCGTGTCACCGGGCTGGGGCCACAACTTCGCCCTGTGTACCTGTGCTATGCTCGCGCTGGCCACGGCTTGCTCTTCAAATATCTCAAATACTCCTCCAGGACCACAGGGAGGGCGACCAAGTTCCGACCGGAAGACTTGGTCGACAGTTGAGAAGGGAATCTGAGGTGCGTCATCAAATAATCTAGCGAACTTCACTTGCATAGGTTTTGGAAGGAACGCTGCATTGGCACCAATTGCTTGTCTAATCTATGCTTGAGTTGACAGTCGAGATATCAATCGAGGAGTATACGCACCCAATTTTGATATAAAGCCCTCCATTAGACGTGAATAGATTATACATCCTGTTTGCAACACGCTCGTGTAGCTCTGGTATGAGGTCACTTTTTTCGGGAGTAAAGTTAAGTTTATAATCTAAGGTGATAGCAGCACACTTGAAGTATGTCAGCTGTGATGAGTGGAACAACTAGGACGACTTACAGTCCATAATGTTCTGATATTGCGGAAGCCAGCGGAGGCATTGTATGTTTTATCAACCGCCCACAGGGCGCCAAAACAGGCTACAGTGTATGCCGTCCGTTTGATATACCTTCTCAGTCGCGTTGAAGGTGTTTTCTTCACCGCTGGGCTCAAGAGAGTACGCTGCTGAAGAGGTCCGAGTCTATGCAGTCCATGGAGGGTTGACCGTTGTAGCGCGAACATGAAGTGAGCTTTGGCAGTAGTTTAAGGCAGATGACTGCTACTCGATGGATGGAGCGAGAGAGCCAACCAAGTGCATCGAGCTTCGATGGTCGTCACTTGTTGAAAGGCTGAGCAAATTTCGGCGCAGCATGACGTATGTTCGGCAGATCAGCAGCATCGCATCCTAACATGACCAAGCATCGGTGTTTTATTTCCCACACTGGCAAAAAGGTCGCGACGGGCATACAAATGACGTGATTGCAGCTTGCCAGGCTGTCAAACCTCGTCAGCGCCTGCAGTACGCGTCTGGCATCCTCACTGACTTTTTCTGAGCAATCGCAACGTGGTGGCTCGGGGGCCCGTTCCGTCAATTTGCTTCCGCAGCTGAACAAAGCAACGTCTTGATCGAGAAGAAGGGTCGAGTTTCCATCACTACCCTCAATTAGGCAATCTTGTTCTGGAAAAGGCGACCTACCGCCCGCCGCCTTAATACAAAGAACATTGTCAGGCAAGAACACTTACCCACGTTGATGAGACCAGAGCTCGGTCTTCGTAGCTGATGCAGTCGTTGTACCTGGACAAGGTTACGGTAACTTCGCAAACTTCTTTTGGCTCTGCCTTGTACCTTTGTTCCTCATGGACGTGGAGTAGTAGAGTACTTTAAGCAGTCAGTGTGCTACTCTCTTTACAAAGAACCTTTCCCTCACATCTTCCGTTCTCTCTCCCAGAGACTTTTGTAAATTAAACTTCACCCTCCCACAGGGGTACACGCAAATGCGCATCAGACTACTGCTTTGTTCGTCGTTCGTCTTGGTCT